GTACTATAAGAATTTAAGTTTAAGTTTGTGTGATGTTGAACAAGCTCACAAGTTGTGTTTAATTGAAAAAATGAGTAGCAGCAAATTAAAGCAGCAAGTAACATATGTATGCAAAATTCTACCTATGATCAAAAGCATGAATATCAATAATTTTTAAAGCAACTCTTTATAAAATAAATGTACTTACTAAGGTTACAATTATTTCAAAAAAGCATGTGGCATGAATTTATGTGCTCAAGCACTATTGTTTTGCTTAGTCTAATTGGGGGTGTATTTTCCTTGGCTAATACAAGTCAGTAAATGGATCTATTTTTTAATTTGTACTGTGTACTCGGCTTGCTTTTTTTCTTGATCACTGGGCGTCTTCTCTATCTTGTTTTAGGTCTTCTTATTTGGATCAATCAGTTAATTTGTTTTGATTTATTTTTCTATCCATTAATAAATCCTTCACAGATTTGTATTTTACTCAGTAACCCTTTGCTAATTGTTAAATTTTTTTGCAGAAACAAAAATTACAAGAAACTCTCTCTCTCTCTCTCTCTCTCTCTCTCTCTCTCTCTCTCTCTCTCTCTCTCTCTCTCTCTCTTATATACTTATCTTCATCAGATAATGATTTAAGACAGTAGATATTGCCATTGTCAATTGATCGTATTCACCCTGCTGGACAGTTCGGGAATTTTGTAGAAACCTGATGGTAATAACAGCTTTTATAGGATAATGATGATGATACAGACCTTAGATTTACTTCAACGTCCGAGGAATCACTGTATTTTCTCAATCACAACCACCTGTGTAACATTTAATTATATCATTATGCTCTATTATCACGGGCATTATACTTGTGTTTGGTCACGTTAAGTGTTTTAGCTTCCAGTTCCTCGGTCATAAGGTGAAAACCGGGATAAAGAATTCCCACATGGTTAATGAGATAGGAAGAGATGAAAATTTGTTTAGATGAAAACGAAAGGTTAAAAAAAATATCACAATAATGATTAAATAATGGCTTATGAAGAGCCAAACACCTTGTTATTTGTAAGATCAAAGTTGTTAATTCCTACATGTTAATGAAACACGTATCGTATGAATGGGAACAGTAATGATTAAAGCTTTTTTCCAGGGAGGCCCTAAACGCTACCCAATATGTATTTAGTTAGAAAAGATTGCTTGAAATTTTTTTGATACCTTACGGTACACAATAAAAAGCTTGCTGTTACGTAGATGGAGTGAGTTTGCTGTTTTAAAAGTTTTTGAGATAATTGATTGATTGATTGATTGATTATTAATTTAACCTTGCAAGGATCTTTCGCTCGAACACAATATATCAAGAAATGGTCCCTGGTTCATTTCAGGATAACGAAAGCTCTGAAAGGACGAAAGGAAGTTTAACTACCGATACTTTCTAACATTTTTCCTTATTATTAAGAAAGCCTCCAAAGGAGACGAGTTTTTAATTTTAAGTTGATAAAGAATTTCTATACAGTCAGTGTGATTTTCTTTGCTAATCAAAACGAACTCAACATTTGTTTTATTTACGCAACTTTTTAATTAGTGCTAGGTGTACAGTGTAATATTTCATAATTGTTAGATTGATGATACCTTTGAATCTTGTAGCACATTAAAGTCATATTGAAGAACATTAATGAGGCCTATCTGTACAATATGGAAGCCACATGAAAAATGTATTTCAAAATCTTTGTTCTCCATCTTGCTATTTAATCACGCAACTTAATTCACATGGGACAACCGCGTTGTATGATTATTGTAACAAACATTTGGATTAATGCATGGATATATATGTTGAAGGATGAGTCATTTTGTTATGTAGTTGGTAGAGTGTCTCATCGTTAATACCTTTCCTGGGATATCTTATTTTGGACACTATGGTAATAGCTTTATCAGGAAATGCTTTTCCCACTGTGCAATGTCCAGCATATGCATCTTCTATAAAAGAGATAATATCTATAGAACGTTTTTGATGCATTTTTATCTTGTGCACACATTACAATACTGAAAGAACTGATGCATTTTTATCTTGTGCACACATTACAATACTGAAAGAAACTTTGGTCCATTTTTTTTCAGAATAAATGAACAATTACCTTTCATATTTGTAGTATAACAACTTTAATTGTTTTATAAAAATAATAATCAGTAATTATTGCAATTAATTCTCTTTTTCACAGTAGGTTTTGATGAATTGAGTTGTCTCCAAACTATTGATAAAATTCTCTGAAAATCTTTGAAAACGGTTCTGCTCCTACAGGGTTGTCTAATTCTAGAAAAAGCAGTGTAATTATTTTTAATAAAAACAACGAAACATGTAGATATGTGTAGAAAGAAATGAATTACTGTTTATGAAAAATTGGATTTTTTTTATTCACACGTGTAACAAATACGTATAAAACGAACCTGTTTGACTGATTATAATATAATATTGTTACAATGTAACATCATAGGACAAATCTCGAGCTCTTTTCATGATCCAGGAAGAGTAAATGTTATTCTTTAGTCCGTCCCACGACGGAACCTCACTACTTTTTGCAAGATATCTCAAAATAAATACTTCGGCTTTCAACCTAAATCCGATTGGTAGATTATAAAATACTATGATTAATTGTTGTTTACCTTCAAAGTATCACGTTTAGCCAACAATGAATTTCAAATTATTTTATTTCGCGAATTTTTACACGCATTTTTAAAGTATTTATGGGGAAAATCACCGTATCTTTTCAGTTTTTACATTTTATTACTATGATTTACATCATTATCACGTGTATTAGAATGGAAAAGGTAGTAATAAAGTTGTATACCTCTCTCTCAAAAAGCCAAATACTGATGCCACAGAGTCTGACACATCTGTTTCATATTTGGATATTTTACTTGATAAAGACCTTAATGGTAATCTAACAACCACGCTCTTATCGCTCTATGATAAATGTGATGTCAGACTTTAACTTTTCTATCGTCAACTTCCCTTACTTATGCAGCAATATATCTTCATCACCTGCATACGGAGATTATATATCTCAGTTGATTCGATACGCAAGAGCATGCTCTGCATATGAACAATTTCTAAAACGAGGTACATTATTGACAAACAAGTTGATGAAACAAGTATTTCAGCAGTCTCGTTTAATGTCATCATTTCCAAAGTTTTATGGTCTATTCAATGACTTTGTCAGCAAATACAATTTATCATTGAGTCAAATGATGTCTGACGTTTTTCATATTGTTAGTCCATTATTCATACACTGAATTGACGACGGATTTTTCCGTTATTTCCCGATCATGACAAGGAGCACACGGCGGGTGTGACCGGTCGGCAGGGGATGCTCACTCCTCAATGGCACCTGATCCCACCTCTGATGTTTCGGAGGTCCGTGTTTGCTCTACTCCTATTTTGTATTGTTTAATAGAATTTTGATCGTGAATACTGTTCGTAATCTCCATATGTTCTTAGTAAATCATGTTATCAGAATGTTTACTAAATTAGATTTGATTAATTTCTGTTAGGGTAGTGTAAAAAGTGATTCTTTCAAGATTTCTATCCACTCTCATTTTTTATTTATTTTGCTCAATACAAGCAAAAAAAGGGTGGCATTTCATTAAAAATGTTATCTAAGATAAACTGTACATTTACATAGTGTTTTAAGGTTTTATGCAGTGTTATACATTTGTCATTTTCCTGGATGTCTATCTTAAAATTTATGAATGACCATATCACACTCAATCAAGACGTCTAAATTGAGAACGGCCCTAAATCAGCTTTGATTTACACGTCTTAGTTTTTCTTAAAGTCATCCTAAACTCTAAGTAAAAATTAACTAAAATATGTTTTTTTTTTGGTTCTTAGTTCTTAGGAAAGTTTCGTGAGCATGCCTGCTGATCAACTAGTAGAGTTTAAGGTGGATGTGTAACTGTTCACGTACATGTAGCTCAGTCGGTAGAGCGCACGCTTCGTGATCGGGAGGTCGTGAGTTCGATTTTCGGCCGCGACTGACTTGAAGTGAAAGTTGTGGGTCCTTCGGATCAGACCTTAAAAACTGAGGTCCTGTGTCACGACAGACGTTTGCACGATAAAGATCTATCACTGCTCAATGGCCTTGAGTGCCGTTTAAAGGTCAGAATTTGAAGCCGCTCACCAGTATAATATGATGTCTCTACATGAGTGAAAAGTTCTCGAATGGGACGTAAAACAAGCTGCAATCAATCAAAGGGGGGGGGGGGTGACCGGTCGACAAGCGATGCCGACTTCACCTGATCACATCTCTAACTTGCGTTTCCGAAGGTCACTGATTTTTGCCCTGTTCTTAATTCGTTTTGTGAACTGGATTTATGATATTGCTTACTGTTTATTATCTTCACCTTTTTCTTTGAAGTAAGTTCTAGGCCTAAATCCCGAATTCTCTCGATCAATCGTACAATGACCTTGTTTAAATTCGACACTTGTTTTTCTTGATGACCTATATTTTAAAGGCATCCATTAAGAACACAACGACATGAAATCCTGCAATTAATCAGCTAAAATAAAATATTCCACTGACTGAAAACTGGGATGCTTCATTATATGAAGAGAAATCAATAATTTGGTGACATTCTATAATAATAAAATCAGAAATCACCAGGGAGGTGCTCTCATATGGTTAGATAAATTGAACTGCACAAAGCGTGTCTTCTCTCCAAGAGCCTTTTTTACATTTTGAATATAGATCAACATCGCATACATAATGTAAATTGTTTGCTGTTTGCTTTCTTGTAAACTATGTGGGAGATGTTCCTTTTTAATTACTTTTGCCATGCCTCTAAACACTGTTTATTGAAATAAAAATGTTGTTCGAATCTGACTTTTATGTAAATATTTTTGATGTCCTGTCATAAACTCCTCTGAAGAAGTTGCATTTGTGGAAATTCTTATGACAGAAAAAATGATTTAGTGAAAATATAAAAAAAAAAAAGCAGAACAATCATGCATCTAATTCTGCTTTAATCAGAAATACATTTTAAAACCGTCTTTCGGTCTGCAGGCCTTCTACTAATCTTGTATATTCATCCCCTTCTTAACTGTTGGACTTGCAAAATGTATTTACAGTTTGGCAATCGTATAAACTTCTATAGTAAACCCTAAAATAAAAACGTGAGTTTTTGATCTGAGCTTTGAATATTTGTTATTGCAGGATGGACTTACAGGTACATGTACATTATTTTCAAACTGAAAACTTTTTTAAAATTATCTCTTAAATAATCAACTCAGACTTATTCATTTTCAGCAAAGCTTTAATAAGCGAAATATGAAGATGATACAATGCAATACCTCAACATTTGCAAGCAACATATACATGTAATACATTCAGAGCAATGAAGTGAACTTTAGCTATGAATTTTATGTTCATTTGTACTGATATACAGTTTGATGTTATGCTGTGAATTGTTGGTACTGGCTTCCTGGCCGCTGTGTCCTAGTGCTTGATGTTGTTTGCCTCGCTGTGACCAGCTCGTCCTCTTTTCTGAAGGTGTCCGACATCTTAAAATGTTGTGAACCAACCGCATTTTTATTCCGATGAAAGAGATAGTGGAAGAGCCATAACATGGACAGTTTAATGATTCTACGAAACTTTGATTCCCCAACAAAATAGATAACAGGGTTTATTACGTTATTCACAAAGTAAGCCCTGGCTAATAATGGTAGAGTTCCCAGAACTACGGGTGTGGAGGGCAGCGTGTTTCCTTTGTTAAAGGTGGAGTTGGCATCCAGGATACAGTCCGGTATGTAGGAGAGGATGAAGGCCACTGTTATAGCAATCATGATCTTGGTAATTCGGGGACTGATTCGATGCTTTTTGTCCTCCACCTTAGAATGCTGGCTGAGTTTCAGGATTACGATTGTGTACAACACAAGTAGGCTGATGAAAACAAAAGTATAGACAACGGTTAAAACAATAGTGTAGACAAAGGGGTAGATGGTTTTCTTCACCCTATCATCGACGGAACAGTCATAACCTACTACACCACCTTTCAAATAATGGTGGCGCATCCCTTGAATAATAGCATTCGGCCAAGCAAACAAGATGGCTACAAATATTGCAATTGCACACAAAATCTGAGCTTTCTTGACAGAGATGGGTTTACTGAAGGGTCGACAGATCTTTCTAAATCGTCCAACTGCCATTACCAAAATAATGAATGCAGATCCAATCTTGAAAACATGACCCAAGAATCTTCCACCTTTGCAGAAGCCTTCGATGAAGAACATAAGTGGGTACAGGTTATCCACCAGTTCTACAGGCATGGCTATGAGGCAGGATAGGAGGTCCACCACTGCTAGCGTCAGAATGTAAGTCCTAAAGGTTGACGATCGGTACCTTAGAGTGTACACAACAAGAACCACCATGTTTCCAATAATGCCGAATGCTATAAGGATACACAGAAAGATTATTGTAGGAAGTCTTTGTCTTGCCTTTTCATCGTTGAACTCTTCCAAGGTTTTAGAGTTTGCTTGCTGTGGAGAAGAAACTGCGACTCCCAAAGTGATGTTCATTTTTCGAATCGCAATGATATCCGTTTTTACTCTTTGTTATCACTGTAATACAAAATGCAGAAAACATTTCTTTTAAAGATGAATAATAACAAATATAAATTTATATCTACTGAAGTATCTATTCAAATAACGATTCTTTTCCGTTTTTTTTGGACACACACAAAAAACGTTTTGAGAAATACAAATGTATGGAAACTACGGAAGCCCATTTAGGACCTATCAAAAAATATTTTTGAATTCGTTATAACGATTTTTAGAATTCGTTATAACGAATTTAATAAAACAGATTTTTAATAACGAATTTAATTTGTTGAAACATAATTCGTTATAATGAATTTAATTTGTTATAACAGATTCATACAGATTCATTCAATTCGTTATAACGAATTTAATTTGTTATTACAGATTTATTGAATTCGTTATAACGAACTTAATCTGTAATTACAGATTTGTTGAATTAGTTATAACTAATTCAAGACTTTGGTTATAACGAATTCAATAAATCTGTGATAACAAATTAGATTCGTTATAACGAATACAATGAATCTGTTATAACATATTAAATTCGTTATAACGAATTCAATAAATCTGTTAGAACAAATTAAATTCGTTATAACGAATTCAATAAATCTGTTTTAACAATTAAATTCGTTATAACGAATTCTAAAAAAGTGTTATAACAAATTAAATTCGTTATAACGAATTCTAAAAATCGTGATAACGAATTCAAAAATATTTTTGATAGGTCCTAAATGGGCTTCCGTAGGAAACATCTTTAACCATTGCAAATTGAAAACCTTAATTGCATGGATTTGCAATTACCATTATGTAGCGAACACATAAAAATGTATATACCTCCTATTCAATTATATACTTTTCTGCTTTCCATCTATAACTATCATTTTGAATAATTTTGGGAATTTTTAGGTCACCTGAGTCACTCAGGTGAACCATTGCTGTCCGTTTTTGTCCGTCGTCGTTCGTCGTGCGTCGCGTGTTAACATTTGAACATTTGCAACTTCTTCTCTGAAACCACTTTACCAATTTCAACGTTAAGCGATTTTGGCATATAGTATCGATGGGTGAAGGGGAACAAAATTATGAATTTTAGGGTCCTTGTCCCCCTTAGGCCTGAGGGGTGGGGCTAAAACCACCAAAATTAATGCAATCTTTAAAAATCTCCTTCACTCCTGTACTTCAAGCAGTCAAACTGTTGCCATGATCGTAATAAGCAATGAGCCCTCTACTATGGTCAAAATTGTGGTGTTACGGTGAGGCTATTCATGGAAAGTGCATTAATTCTTTCAAAATCTAAGGGTATTAAACAAAATAACTAAGTACATAATTATGGTGTTAGTGTTAGGCGGGGCTATATAGATCATATAATAAAAGTGCATTATTTCTTTGAAAATCTTCTTCTAAATCCTGGGTATTCTATAAACTAACAAAATATATAGTTATGATGAACAAGAGTGCCTCTTTTAAAATTGTGAATTTCATGGCCCTTGGGTCAAGGGTTCTGGTGTAGGGGCGGGGTTCTATTGATTATATACGAGAATGTACTAATTCTTTAAAAAATTCTCCTCTGCTCCTGGGTATTAAACCAATAACATTGATATAATGAGGAAGGATGCCTCTTTATGGCCCCTGGGTCAGGGTTTCTGGTGTAAGGGCGGGGCTGTAATGATTATATAAATGCATGAATTCTTTGCAAATCTCTTCCTTTGCACTTGGGTATTTTGCGAAGTACATTTTTATGAAGAAGAAAGCTGCTTCTTCCAAAATGATTTATTTCAGGGTCCTCGGGTCAGGGGTACTTGGAGGGAGGGGAGGGGAGTTAAATATTCTCAGTGAATAGTTATGATAAGCAATGGTGCCTCTTTCAAAATTGTGAATTTCATGGCCTCTGGTTTAAAACAAGAACCAAATTCAATTGTTGGACAGTTGTTGCATGATACTCAGGTGATCTATAAGGCCTGTGGGTCTCTTGGGTTTTTTTTTTTTTTTTGTATCATATGTTGTAATGTTATGTAATAGGGGGTATCTCTTGTCATATTTCAGAGAATTTTGTAAAAGCGACCTATGCTGTCAGTATTTCCTTATATAGAATGATAATAGTTGACATTGTCTATAATAAGTGACAATATTTTTACAATACATGTACTATATTTGCATAATTGATCTGTATGATATGAAACTTTGCCAGATCACAAATATAACATAAATAATGAAATATACTAATATTATTCATTTTTTAAGGAATTTAACCACCCATATTATATGCACTCCTTGCCCCCCCCCCCCCAAAAAAAGATAAAAAAACTTAATAAAGACAAACAATTACACTTTTGCTACGTGCTTCTCATTTGTTCCGTGTTGAATGACTAAGTTCTTGTAGTCAGATATTCATTTTCATTAAGATTTGGAACAGGAAATTAATATCGCCTACGTTGAAATGGGATATAGAAAGCGTTACTGTAAACAAAATTATCAGTGTTCTTTGTTTGCTATTTATTGCTATAGATAACATAGTAAAAAAAACACATTGAAATCTAAAGTCAGTGAGAGCTGACATATCAAAGAATTTTTTTGTTTTATCTTGATTTAATTTTTAGGTCACCTGAGTAAACTCAGGTGACCTATTGCTATCTGTTTTCGTCCGGTCGTTGTGCGTCGTTATCGTGCGTTAACATTTGAACATTTTCAGCTTCTTCTCTGAAACCACTGAACCAGTTTCAACCAAATTTGGCATATAGCATTTATGGGTGAAGGGGAACAAAATTTGTGTATTTCATAATCCCTACCCCCCCCCCCTGGGGCCTGAGGGGTGGGGCCAAAATCAATAAAATTAGTACAATCTTTAAAAATCTTCTTCTTTACTCCTGGACATCAAGCAGTCAAACTGTTTGCATGATTGTAATCAGCATTGAGTCCTCTACCAAAATTGTGAAATTCATGGCCCTGGGGTCAGGGGGTCTAGTGCTAGGGCGGGGCTAAATAGATTATATAGTGAAAATGCATTATTCCTTTGAAAATCTTCTCTGCTGATAGGCATTAAATGAACTAAATAAGTACATAGTTATGTTGAATAAGGCTGCCTCTTCAAAAATTGTGAAATTCATGGCCCTGAGGTTTGGGGTTTTTAGGTGCTAGGACGGGGCTATATAGATTATATAGTGAAAATGCATAAATTCTTTGAAATTCTTCTTTTCTGTTTATGGGCATTAAATAAACTAACCAAGTACATAATTATGTTGAATAAGGCTGTCTTTGCTAAAATTGTGAACTCTAATCACCCCAGGGTCATGGGTTCTAGTGCTAGGGTGGGGTTATATAGATTATATAGTGAAAATGCATAAATTCTTTGAAATATTTTCATCTCTGTTCATGGTCATGAAGTAAACTAACCAAGTGCATAGTTATGTTGAATTAGGCTGCCTCTTTCAAAATTGTGAATTTCACGGCCCCAGGGTCAGGGGTTCTAGTGCTAGGCGGGGCTATATAGATTAAATAGTAAAAAATGAATTATTTCTTTGAAAATCTTCTTCTCTGCTCCTGAGTATTCAATAAACTAACCAAATACATAGTTTTGTTAAGTAAGGCTGCCTCTTCCAAAATTGTGAATTTCACGGCCCTTGGGTTGGGGGTTCCGGTGTTAGGATGGAGCTCTTTTGCTTATATAGTGAAATTGCATAAATTCTTTTAAAATCTTCTTTTCTGAACCTGGGTATTAAACGAACCATGTACATAGTTATGAGGAGGAAGGATGCCTCATTGAGATTTGTGAATTTCAGGGCTTCTTGTGTTAGGGCGGGGCTCTAATATTTATATATTGAAAATGCATGAATCCTTTCAAAATCCTTTACTTGGTTCCTGGGTATTATGCCAATGATCTTAGTATATATTTATGAGGAAGAAAGCTACTTCTTCCAAAAATGGTTTATTTCCTGGCCCCAGGGACAGAGGTACTTAAGGGGGGGGGGGGGGGGTACATAGTCTGAAAATAATTTAATGCTTTGAAATCTGCGCTTTGGTATTAATCAATAATATGATGAAATATAAAATTTCCATTTTGAAAAATGTGGCCCCAGGTTCAGTGGTTTCTGTGGGATGGGGTGCACAACTGACGAAGTGGAAAATGCATTTTCTCTTTGTTACTCTGAGATAACCCCCTGGGTATTAAGTAACCAAAGTAAGCATGCTGAGTGTATAATTATGATAAGCAATGGTGCCTCTTTCAAAATTTTGAATTTCATGGCCTCTGGTTTAAAACATAAATCAAATTCAATTGTTGGAAAGTTGTTGCATGACACTCAGGTGACCTAGAAGGCCCATGGGTCTCTTGTTTTACTTTCTTATTTGTCGAAATATAGATGTTTCACTTAAAATTCTGTCTTCAAGGACTGATGATGAAGTACCGTTTATGCGGTATTTCTCGTGTTGCAAATTCTGCGAAAAAAGGTAGATATGTACATATCGTAAGTTATTTTTTGCGGTATTTAAAAAAAGGACACAATTACCGACATTATTTCTGCGTGTTTTACTTTTTGCGAACAAAAATTGATCGCAAAAAAATGCGAAAAATAGATTATAGCAGAAAAAACCCTGTTAGATGGTAAATGAAATGATAGAGAAAAATAGTCTTTTTTTATAATCAAATGGAGAAAATATTTTCAAATAAAGTTTCAGCTCCTCTTTCTTGTTTTTATAGTATTTAGAAAACTTTGATTTATTTTAAATTATTACATACAGTGCAGAATACAATATGGAAAAAAGAAGAAAAAAGAAATGCTTGTTTCAAATTCCTTATTTTTTTTTTTTTTGTTTTCAACATTCCTTTGTTGTTTTCTATTTAAAAGAAAACATTTTTTTTTAATAACAATAAATCTCACCTTTTAAAAGGACGTCTCACAAGGTAACTGCAAAAAACATCTTCGAAACATTAAAAATAAATCGGGAAAACTCCTATATATTTGTGTACCTTGTTAAACAAATGCTGTATGTATTAAAATCAAATGTCCGCTTACTACTGAACTTTTTAAGGATCATCTGTTTAAGGTTGTAAACAAGGAGGTTTATATAACTTTTATAATTTCCTGAGCCTCTATCGAAATAACAATACCTGTTATATTTAGAAAAAATATCATCGGCATGTACTCTTATCACATATAAACCATAATAAAATTCTAACCAGTCTTAGTGCAATTAAGAGATCACAGAAAAAAGTAAAACAAAGGCCCATGTGTTATTAATACACAATTGCAAAATTGTTCTACTTGTATCTTCCTTATACACTCTTGTGCTCTTGTGATTTGAAAAGTAGCAATTTTGAGGGTTCGTTTTACCAATTGTCTCGTTTTTCAGCTGATGCATTTGTTTATTGATTATCTATTAATATCATTAAATAGAATGAATATTTACAACAAGTAAAATGGTATAGAAAATTTTGTAACTTATGCAGAATGCCATCCTTTTGGATAAAAATCGATTTTTTATATAGTATGAAAATAATAAATTAACGTTAACGTTTTGCAGCTAAATCTTAAATTAGAACCGTTTCACCTTATATCAAATTATTGTGATTTCCCAAGTGCAAGTCATTATTTGAATGACAGAGGAGAAAATTCACGATTGCTGGCGAGTAGATTTACGAATAAAAGTGGGAGGAAATTGCCTAATAATAGGTTTTATATTGAGAACTCTTTTATCAGTACTTTTAGTTTTCAATAAAAGTTAAGCTTAATTATTTAAAATCTTTTTAACATCTTTTTCAGAAAGATATTAAACCAAAAGGTAGCCACTGCACCTAGTCATTTCCTTTCTTATACGAGAGGGACGTTAAACAATATACAATCAATTAATCAATCTTATACATACAGTTTAGTAGCTTAATCAAGTCGATCCAAAAGCTTTTTCGATCATCTTGAATTTTGATTTTTTTGTATTCAACGGGGGGGGGGGGGGGGTCATTAACATGAGGTATGGTCACCTTAAAGGAGAAAGTAAAGCTCAGAATAAACACAATTTATCTTGTCCAGATTTTGACCTTGTTCGAAATACATGTATAACTATCATTGGGTCGTTTTTGGCTGACGTTTTTCATACAATTGTTTGGCCTTTGTTTTTATATTAAATTTGACTACAGAATATCTAATTAACTATATAATTGAAAGACTGGAATAACGAACATCATGCAACCAATCCCAAAACCTAAATAGTGCAATACAAATCTAGAGCAGAGCAAACACCGACCACTTAAAACATCACAGGTAGAATCAGGTGCCATGGAGGAGTGAGCATCCCCTATTGATCGGTCACATCCTCCATGTTTTGTAAAGATGGTCATTTTTACGGGTAAAATGTAAAATATTGCAATTTCTGTAAATCGTTTGTATACTAGTACCATTATTTTTCTTAGAGATGACATTGCACTTATGCCTGCAAAATACCCAGTAAAGAATATGAGATTGTGCATATATATCAGAGCTTGTGAAGTAGGAAATATTTTCTCCTTAAATAACGAAAATTTCTCTTGCTTAAATTTCCTTATAAAAGTTGTTGAAGATACACTAATCGTGGCTATTATTTGTAAAAGGAAGTTATGATCATTAAAGAAGAAGCAACAATATTTTTTTTTTCTCAATTCTTTAAAGTTTCATACTTTCATGCTCATATTTAGATTGATATTAGATCCATGTAGACACGTTTGCCAGCTTTTTATTTATGTAACATTATTTACCTGTTTATGGCCCAAGTATTAATGACATATAAACATGCAATGTTATTATTCAGAAAATAAAACACGATAAGAACACGGCGTATTCAATAAAGTTTCATTATTTAAATAGAAATCAACAATTTTGTGACAGTGTATTTCTATGAAGTAAGAGTTCACATGGGAGTTTATCCTATCTGTGTAAATTAGTTTGTTTACAATGCCTGATTCATTAAACACACAAGCAACCGTTCCCATCATTTTCAATATTAATCATATTACGGCTGAGAACGCGCACGTCCTTGGTTTCCGTATCCCACTTGTACATTCTTACTGCATTTATTCTATTAAACGAGTATTCGTTATATGTTTTCTTTTAAACACGTATCTGTATCTAGATATCAACCTCTTCAAAACTTCTTTGAAGAAAACGTGGTGTATATATAGAGCATCAAAACAATCCTTATACACATGTAATGCTTACATGTACATGTACAAACAAAATGTTGATTTAATCTTATCATAAAAAACATGTAATACTGGGAAATATATATTTTCCGACATGAAAGCTATCATGTTTTATCAATAAAGATTATAAAAAATACAGATTCTGAGGCTGAGAAGGGGCTTAAGAATATCAAACTTATTTCTGGTTGTAGTAGTGATTTGGTTGGATAAAAATATTGTAAGTTTACATAATTTTATATCTGTGTTGCCTTCGTCCCATGTCCGTCAAAAACGTTAAAATATCAATATGCTCAATACGCTCAGGACGTTTCATTTAAAATATGTAAAATTTGATGGCATATTTGAAGAGAAAATCTTTTAATATCAGTTTATGGTTAAAAACGGAAAAAGCTGCCCTCATGATATCAATATCATATATATGATATTTGATATTGATATACTGACATATATCAATACATGTCAAATGCTGATTGGCGTTTTTTCATACTAACTGTTAGTCTATTTTACTACACACTTATTTTCTGTTTTTATGATCGTAACAAGAAGTAAACTGGTGTGACCGATGGCCAGGGGATGCTTACTTGTCCATGGCATCTGATCTCTGCCTTTGATGCTCTTCATGTGTATGTTACAGTGTACTTTCCAAAAAAAATCTTTTAGGGTGAGTTCACCATGCATCGGACACATACCTTGCTTCGGACAACTTTAGGCAATAAACTCTCTTTCAACTTATGAGTTCTGTGTATTTATTTGTTTCTGTCATAAAGATGAAGATTTAAATTTTTTAATGATACCGATTGTGTTTATCATGTTGTGATAAAAATACCCCGCAAATGACCTTGAAGTTACGTCATATTTTACATCATCAAAGGGGAATAACCCGAAATTTATGATTTTGCAATTTTTAGAGTTATCGTTCTTTTAAATTGGACTTCCACGGAACGAGTCGGACTTTGGTGAATTTTGTCAGGGATTGGTAATTTTACATAAATTATAATTAAATTTCACTTCAATCTTTGTTTAATTCTTATTAGAGCTGGTTTTTACTAGTATGCTATTTTCACCGTACATCGGACACAAATTAACCATGCATCGGACACTTTTCGATGCAAAGGTAAGTACTACCATTTTCATACAGAACCCAGCTGACAGCTGTTTTTTGTGAAAAAGAAAATAAAAACTCTATATTTTCAGTCAAAATACAAGTTATCCATATATGACGTCTGGAATTTTACTCTATTTATTTCTACAAACCAGAGTATGATAAACCATGAGAAAAAAGGCGCGAATTACGGCATTATAAGCATTTTAAAGCATTTCTAAGGCAGAGTGAGGTCTCTAGAATCGTTCTACATTTGTGCAATAATATCGTCGATTAAATTACAGTTGAGGGTTATTTCTTAGATAAAAGATGAAAATATATCCATATCAAGGATTTTAAAGCATTGTGATAAAGGTATGATATTTTTCCGGTCTCCATACCGTCTGTCCGATGCATGGTGAACAATGTCCGATCCATGGTGAATTTTCTGTTTTTTCTAAAAACTCGATTTTTGGGGATATTTTCTAAATAAACGGCATATAATTGTGTCCAAAATTGTTATTTTAATCACAAACTAAATGTTAAACTCCATTTTGATAATTTCCCGTCGGTAGCGATATCGCTAGAACTTGTTGAAGTACAAGGGTATCCGATGCATGGTGAATTCACCCTAAGCACTTTTACGTAAATCGAAAAGGATGATCTTGTTTAAGTAAAACTAGCGATTCATGAGTCGGTAAGAATAAATACACTTTATCTTCCTTGACTATTGAAAACATATCAAAGAATTTCGTGAGACAATGAATTGAAAATATAAGTGGTGAAATGTCTTTAGATTACTTCCTGTAAATATGATATATTTTTGAAAAGCCAGTTTTAAAAAATGATTCAAACGTAACACATGTGATCAGCCATCTTATTTTACCTAATCAAGTTCTGTGGCTAGAAGTAGTCATGTATATTAGAAATGACTTTATTAAGTTTTTTATTTAATTTTATGAAATACCATAATTAAAATGAAAGACAAAATAATTACACCGATCATTTTGACTCTGAAATCATCTGTTATTTATTAGCAAATTTATTTTCTATTTAATTGCAAACAACTGAGAAAAACACTGATTTCATGAAGGTATAATTTTTTTATTTAAGATACGAAGTAACCCACTAAGTCATATCCACAAAGAAAATCAAATTTTACATAATCTCTCTCTCTATATATATATTTTGTTTTTCTCTATGATTTATCTTTGAAAAATAACCAAGATGATTTCTTGATGATTACATTTGAATGTATATTTCGCCAAGTGAAAGGTCAGGAGCCTGATATGCATGCCAATCTTGTGCGGCCGACGTAAGTGGGCGGGGACTATTGAAATTAACATGTTATTCTATTATACTGCATTCTTATTTATATTTACATTTTTATTTAACATATTTATGTTAATATAAGGAATCACAGTCAATAGTTTGTTGGACATGCCATGGACATCGACGAAAGTTGGAAACGTTAGAAGGATAACATGCATAATAGGGTTTCGCCCGTAATGCAAAATATCCCACGTTTCCAACTATCGTTGATGCCCTGATATACCCCAAAAATTAGGCACTTGATCCTTAAAAATTCACGGAAATTTTACTCAAAAACACAAAATCAGTCCATGTTAGTCATTTTGATACACAGTTTTAGGTTATGTGGAATCGATATTGAATTATGACCCCTTCAAATAGCATACATTCTTAATAAACGACAGGGCCAAGATGGCTTGACCTGTAAGTGAGCGTTATCAGCCTTTTTTACAATTTGATAATATACTTTGAAAGTAGATCAGCAAGAGTACATCGACAAATAAAAGTTATTTTCACGTGGAGCTGACCCGTAAAAAGAAAAATAAAAGTTAAATCGCACAGCTTTTAATCTATTTAGAAATAAATCCAGGAGAGATTGTCG